GCCGCTGCCCGCCGCGCGGCGCACACCGGGACTTGTAGTCTTCTTTCTGGCGCGGAGCCCATTGGGAGCCGTAGTCCATGAGGCTGCGTGCCATGAGATGTAGTTTCCAGGATCTGTCCTCCTCCCGGGTTCAATCCCTAGTAGGGGATGGAGGCAGAGTTATGACTTCCATATGAGCCCACTTACAAGCACACACAGAAATAAATGATAAATTAAGTACATTTAAATATCAAACAAAAAGACAGCAATGGTTGGCGAAATGTCTCAGAGGTTAGGCACCTGCTGCCAAGCCTAATGATCGAGGTTGAATCCCTGGATCCTACATAGAAGAAAACCGACTCACACAAGTTGTCCTCTGACCTCCAAACGTACAGAAACACATGCAGCAAAGAAATGGAATTTTTAAAAATATTAATGTGCCCCGTCAAAGCAAGTATCCACTGTCTTCCCAGCACTGGGGAAGCTGAGGCAGGAAGATGGAGAGATTGAGGACAGTATAGCAGAAAACAAGACCACAAATGTGATTCAGTGTGTACCGCTTTTCCCCAGACAGTCCTACTGTAGTGCACCATCAGGAACTCAACCTGTCCCTCCATTCACCTGTTGGAGTCCAGCCCAGTCAGCCTCTGAAGCCATAACCCATGAAGCCCTGACTTCTCTGACTCCTAAAAGCTACTTAGGGTCAGGCAGTAGTGGAACACGCCTTTAATCCCAGCACTCAGGAAGCAGAGGCAGGAGGATCTCTATGAGTTTGAGTCCAGCCTGGTCTACAGAGCAAGTTACAGGACAGCCAGAGCTACACACAGAGAAACCCTGTCTCAAACTCCCCCCCCAAAAAAAAAGTACTTAGTGTCAAAAAATCTGCTACTGTACAATTATAGCTATTAGTGTATGAAATGTAAAATTGGGATGGAGCTGGGGGTCAGTATTGGTGCCCTGCCTAGAAATCCCTAGTGATAGGCTGGGGTGTGGTCAGGGGTGGAGCCCTGCTTAAAATCTCCAGTGAGGGGGCTGGAGAGATGGCTCAATGGTTAAGAACACTAGTTGGTCTTCTAGAGGTCCTGAGTTCAATTCCCAGCTACCACAGGGTGGCTCACAACCATCTGTAATGAGATCTGATGCCCTCTTCTGGCATGCAGACAGAACACTGTCTGTAATAAATAAATAAATTAAAAAAAAAAAACTCCAGTGAGGGATTTAGGATATGGCTCAAAAGATAAGAGATCATCTAAAGGCTGGAGAGATGGCTCAGAGGTTAAGAGCACTGGCTGCTCTTCCAGAGGTCCTGAGTTCAATTCTCAGCAACCACAGGGTGGCTCACAACCATCCATTATGAGATCTGGTGCCCTCTTCTGGTGTGCAGATATGCATGGAAGCAGAATGTTGTATACATAATAAATAAATAAAATCTTAAAAAAAAAAAAGAACTCATCTAAAGAGCAGCAGATCCTAGGTTTCATCTCCAGGGGAATAAAAATGTTCTTTTACCTATCTGATTCCCTCTGGCCTGCATGCATTCCCTCTTCTCAGGTCCAAAGTGTGTGCTGCTCCCTCCACCTCCCCCATCTGACAAGGCTCACTGACTGGAAATTGAGTTTAGACCCTGCTCAACCCGCACTTCTGGGAATTTCTGGAAGTTAGATAAAAGCCAGTATCCCCCAGGAGCTTCTGAAACCTCCTCCCAGTTGCCAAAAGGAATAATTTCCTTGGCCTCTGGCAGAAGGCACATCTGGCTCTCCACACTGGCCTCCAGACTCCCCCAGGCCCCGCTCACAAGGACTTGTTATACATTTCAAAACTCCCCATGTCTCCCCTGCAGCTCACTGGCTCCTCCCCTCTCCAGGTATCCATTCTCTTTATAACCCTCCAGATTTTCCCCATCTTGCTTATCTCTCTTTTCCCTGACATGTCTTGGCAGTTTGAAATAAACTTTTCCTTTTCCACCGACAAAGCGGCCTTTTGGGTTTCTTTACTGTGCCCCTCGCATACACCCCTTTTGGCCTTTGGTGTCCTGTCTGTCCCAGGACTTGTTGTTGGTGTTCCCCCCTGTGTGTGTTTCCCCCATTTGTTTGCTTTTTGTTCTCTGCCACCCCAAGGCTTAGAGTTGACTTCCCGCCCTCTTCCCTCAGCACTGGGCGGGGTTCTTGGTGTATCCCACCCCTGTACTTCTTGGACTATAAGTCCCAGAAAACCCCGCGGTGCTCTGGATGGGGCGGGACCCTCTTCCTCTCACGTGCACTTTGGAAACGTCCCGCGATTTTCAAATTTTGGCGCTAAGCGGGTGGGGCAGTGACAGCTGCAACCAAGGTGTCCCTTCACTGCCGGCTATCCGCTGGCCTACCCTTCCCACTGGCTCCCAACACAGGGCATGGGAAGTGGAGGACCCCTGGTTCCAGGAGTGGAACTTGCCAGAACAACCCTCCAACAGCCTATGGTGGAGCTGGGGTGCTCTCCCCGCCCCCTGCTCCTGCCGCGCTACAAAGTAGCTGCTTGCTGTCTGCTTTCGGGGTGCAGGGTTGTAAATAGGAAATCCGGACCCCTAGACCCTGTCAGCCCTGGGATTCCCTGCTCCGTGCCCACCTTCTATCCTCCATTCCCTGGCCCGCTGTCCCCTCCCAAGCTGGATTTTGGCGCCAGTTTTAAATAAAAATAAGTAAATCACATTCCAAAGGATGTCGCTGAGTTTTGGCCCGGAACATTGGGCTTTATTCGGAATTCCGGAGCGTGGATTTCTGGACAAGGTGGAATCTGGAGCCTGGATTTAAGAGCCATCAGATTCCGGAGCCTGGATTTCAGGGAGATTTGGGCCCTGAGTTTGTGCTCCAAATTGTGGATCCTGAATTTCAGGATCTTGGATTCAGGAATCTGGAGAGTGAAATGTCTTTCGGGATTCGGGGGATCCTGGATCCTGGATTCTGTATTTGAAGTAGGACGATTTTGGAGTGTCAATTCTGGAGCTGTGCCAAACTCACTCCCAGGATTTGGGGACTCAACCTGAAATCTAATATCATAATTTAACAACCTGGTACTGTGGCAAGTGGGGCAGAGACAGGTGGATCTCTGTGAGTTTGGAGCCAGCCTGGTCTATAAAGTGAGCTCCAAGCTAGCCAAGATCTAGGAGACTCTGTCTCAAACAAGAGAAAACAAAATGAGGAGAACAAAACCTTGGGACATGAGCCAGGAAGTTCAGGGTGGGTTGGACACTCACTGGATGATGGGCTCCACAGGTGGGGACATTTGTCGGCGAGCCTGCCACAAGGGAGGCCACAGACTCAAGGACACCTAACAGGGGTACATTCTTGGTGCTTTAGAACGTTGTAATCTGCATGGTAGCCTGAAGCAGAGTGCGGGGCATCAGCTTGTGTGCATAGGGAGTGTTGCCTTCTCCACACCCTGCTGAGGGAGGAAAAGCATAGGTGAGATGGGGCAGTGGCTGCCAAGGTAGCACTGACAGGCTAAGGAGTGAGGCTTCCCACCAGGCAAGTTCAGAGAAATAAAAAAATAAAGACAAGAGCATAAAATATGCCTGGGTATGCCAGGAGTTGGTGATGCACCCCTTTAATCCCAGCACTTGGGAGGCAGAGGCAGTAGGATCTCTGTGAGTTCCAGGCCAGAATGGTTTACAAGAGGGAGTGCCGGAAAAACAACCTCCAAAGCAATAGAGAGAAGCCCTGTCTCAAAAAACCAAACGTGCGCGCGCGCGCGTGTGTGTGTGTGTGTGTGTGTGTGTGTGTGTGTGTGTGTGTGTATTAGTCAGCTTTTGCTGGTAACAAATACCCTCTCAAAATAAGTGGGTAAAGGGACTTGCTGCAAGCCTGATGACCTGTTAGATCCTAAGGATCTACATGGTAAATGACAGAGCTGATACCCCCGTCCTCTGAGAGAAATTAAACTTAATCTAAGTTGCATATGTGTAGGAAAGTTGTACTTGATAGTTGAGTCAACTCTGGGGTTCGTCAGCCCACCTGGGTCAGAAACTCATTTCTGTCCAGTACGTGGACAACCTCAAGAGTTAATTACCATTTTGTTTGAATTGTGTTATCTTTCTCTGTGTGTGTGCCGGTGTGTGCATTCTGCAGTCAGAAGACAGCTTCATCTTCTTCCACCTTTACATGGCTCCTTCCTGTGGATCAAAGGCAATTCTTTAGTCTTTCACAGCCCGCACCTAACCTCCTCCCACCAGTACTAGAGATAAAATGCAAGCCCTGGTGCATAGTACATAAGTTCTTCAGGCCTCCAGCCCCTTCACTGGGCATGTAGGTGGGGCTCCACCCTGACCACGCCCCCAGCCCCTCACTGGGGAATTCCAGAGGAGGGGATGGGGGACTCGATGGGCTTCTAAAAAAAAGACTTTCTACTTCTGATGTACTGCACACATCAACACCCCTCCCCTCCCCGATTTTGAGACAGTGTATCAGTTCAGTTTATTACCCAGGGTGCTCTTTGTTGTTTTTGTTGTTTTGTTTTGTTTTTGTTATTTGAGACAGGGTTTCTCTGTGTAGCTTTGGAGCCTATCATGGCACTCATTCTGAAGACCAGGCTGGCCTCTAACTCACAGCCTCTGCCTCCTGAGTGCTGAGATTAAAGGCCTGCACCACCAAGCCCGGCCACTTTTTTGGTTTTTTGAGACAGGGTTTCTCTGTGGCTTTGGAGGCTGTCCTGGAACTAGCTCTTATAGACCAGGCTGGTCTTGAGCTTACAGAAATCCACCGGTCTCTGCCTCCTGAATGCTGGGATTAAAGGTGTGCACCACCACTGTACTGGGTCCCCAGGCTGGTC